TGTGTGGCATAAGGAGGGGATGGGACGCGAAATGGGCCACCAATGGGCACAGATGGGGGGGACAGGAGGCTTTATGGACGAAAGACTGGTGATGATGATGATGATGCCACTGCTTCTGATGATTGATTGATGCTGCTTACTGCTGATGATTGTTGAGTGTGTGTTGCGGCTTGCTGATGCCACTGCTTCTGATGATTGATTGATGCTGCTTACTGCTGATGATTGATTTATGCTGCTTACTGCTGATGATTGTTGAGTGTGTGTTGCGGCTTGCTGATGCCACTGCTACTGATGATTGATGCCGCTTACTGCTGATGATTGTTGAGTGTGTGTTGTGGCTTGCTGATGCCACTGCTGCTGATGATTGATTGATGCTGCTTACTGCTGATGATTGTTGAGTGTGTTGCGGCTTGCTGATGCCACTGCTTCTGATGATTGATTGATGCTGCTTACTGCTGGTGATTGATTTATGCTGCTTACTGCTGATGATTGTTGAGTGTGTGTTGCGGCTTGCTGATGCCACTGCTTCTGATGATTGATTGATGCTGCTTACTGCTGATGATTGTTGAGTGTGTGTTGCGGCTTGCTGATGCCACTGCTTCTGATGATTGATTGATGCTGCTTACTGCTGATGATTGTTGAGTGTGTGTTGCGGCTTGCTGATGCCACTGCTTCTGATGATTAATTGATGCTGCTTACTGCTGATGATTGTTGAGTGTGTGTTGCGGCTTGCTGATGCCACTGCTGCTGATGATTGATTGATGCTGCTTCCTGCTGATGATTGTTGAGTGTGTGTTGCGACTTGCTGATGCCACTGCTGCTGATGATTGATTGATGCTGCTTACTGCTGATGATTGTTGAGTGTGTGTTGCGGATTGCTGATGCCACTGCTGCTGATGATTGATTGATGCTGCTTACTGCTGATGATTGTTGAGTGTGTGTTGCGGCTTGCTGATGCAACTGCTTCTGATGATTGATTGATGCCGCTTACTGCTGATTGTTGAGTGTGTGTTGCGGCTTGCTGATGCCACTGCTGCTGATGATTGATTGATGCTGCTTACTGCTGATGATTGTTGAGTGTGTGTTGCGGCTTGCTGATGCCACTGCTGCTGATGATTACGATGCTCCTGGTGCTGCTGCTGCTGATGTTACTACTGTTGTTGCTGGCGATGTTACTCCTGTTGCTGCTACTGATGTCGCTGCAGCTGCTGCTGTGGTTACTGCTGCTGCTGAAACTGATAATGTTGACGCGAGGGTTAATGATGGTGATGCTGCTGCTGCTGATGATAATGGTATTGACGATATTACAACTCAGGATTCAATTGCGATTGCGACTGATGTTGTTGAAGTGATGGATGCTGATGAAGATGCAACTGTTGCTGATGACGCTCCTAATGCTTCGGATGATGCTGCTGCTACTGATGCTGTTTCTAATGATGATGCATCTGATGACAATGTTTCTGATGCTGCTGTTTCTTTTGGTCATGATGCTACTAATGCTGAAGGTACTGATGTAACTGTTGATGCTGCTAGTTATGTTTCTGCTGCTGATGCTGCTGCTACTGCTGATGCTGCCGTTGATGCCCCTGCTATTTCTGCAAATGCAGCAGCTACTGCTCAATTAAAATGCACCCATCTCTTTAAAAAAGACCTTTGACTCTCATGCCAAACCCAGCCTCAGATAAGCCCTTGTAATTGTCAATGATTGTGTTTGTCGAACGTATTTATCCACTGACTTAACTCGCACTGCAGTTCACAATGCAGAATTGTGTGTGCATTGTTCGTGGCCATGTGTTGTTTGCGGAGAGCGGTGGCGCAGTGGTTAGCGCAACTGCACGACAAAAACCCCGCGACCCGAGTTTCGATTCCCGTTCACGACCAATTCACGGTGGCGAATATTTGAACCGATGTGGGCCTCCCATAGGTCGACTCAGCCTTAAACGAGTACCTGGTGCGGTGTGTAAAACATCAGCACTGGGGAGACAAAGGGGGCCGGGCGTGGTGCTGGCCACCCACCCCCTCGTGTGCCGTGCCGCCTTCATAGGTGCTCGCTAACAGCACTTGCCCCTACAGTCTGTTAAGGCTACACGGGGGATCTTTGTTTTTGTGTTGTTATACACCAATACATATACACGTGTTGTGTATTTACTCCGCAGAAATAATGTTAATACTGGTAGGAACCCACTGGTTCCACCAGCCCACAGGGGATTATTGTGTCCGTCCGTCCGTCGTGCAGGGAGGGGCTGGGTGGGGAGGCAGGGGCTGGGTGGAGAGGGGAAGGTGGGAAGGGGCTGGGTGGGGAGGGCTGGGTGGGGAGGGAAGGGTAGAGAGGGGAGGGGAGAGGCTGGGTGGGGAGGGTGGGGAGGGGCTGGGTGAGGTGGGAGGGTGGGGAGGGGCTGGGTGGTGAGGGTGGGGCTAGGTGGGGGTGGGAGAGGTGGGGCTGGGTGGAGAGGGGCTGGTCACCCCGTGGTGCCCTTATAAAACTCAACGTTTAACCTACTCACGCCGGCTTGTGCCCGCCCTCACAGTCGGGCATATTTGCGGAATACACCACGCCGCCGTTGACCCTGGTCATTGACCGAGCAACCCAACGTTACTACCAGCTCCCTCCGCAGGAATGTGTTATACATCACTGCATCGTAAATGTAGCTGCCTTAACAAGAAAAAGAGATGCGATAGGCGACGATTCGGGCAATGGCCCTACTATTTAACACGATACACCACACGGGATTCGTAGTGTTGTGTATGTGCTGTTTGACGTGCATGGCACACAAAAACACATGGTGTGCCATGACACATACACTAACTGATGGCATGGTAATCATGTGCATGACATATATAGGCTATACAGAAGGGAGATTGCCCGAAACGTCGCCTATTATATTTCCGTTTGAAGACCTTTTTTCAGTTATAACTGGGTGCACAGTGCATATGCAACAAAGGTATGCAATGTATGTGTTCTATTGTGTATATAATACACACATATATTATTGCGTACATACTAAACGCATTACAGTGTGTTCACACGTGTATACGTGTCAAGGTGTATTTGTGTTTATAGTTCCCATAGAATTGATGTGGAGAAGGTAATGCATTAGTCCAGCAGTGTATTGACCATGTCTGATTAATGATATGTCTGTAACACAAGTACTGCACACAAATTGTGTGAATATACCTCGAGTACATTGCAAGGTCCATTCATAATGCATCTGTCCTGGCAATGTGCAATTGATGTGGAAATCCGCACACTGTTTGTGTCTTCATTATCACACAGTGCAATACGTATTGTGTTGCTGCATATGGAGCGTGTACTTGGTGTGTATGTGTACTTGCAGATGTGTATGTGTGTGCGTGCTGTGTGTCTGTGTGTGTTGTGCTGTGTGTGTGTGTGTGCTGTGTGTGTGTACTTACTGTGTATGTGTGTGATGTGTGTGTGCTGTGTGTACTTGCTGTGTATGTGTGTGAGTACTTGATGTGTGTGTGTACTTGCTGTGTGTGTACTGTGTGTGTGTGTGTGTACTGTGTGTATGTACTGTGTGTGTGTGTACTTGCTGTGTGTGTGTACTTGCTGTGTATATGTGTGTGCTGTGTGTACTTGCTGTGTATGTGTGTGCTGTGTGTGCTGTGTGTGTGTGCTGTGTGTGTACTTGCTGTGTGTGTACTTGCTGTGTGTGTGTACTGTGTGTGTGTGTACTGTGTGTGTGTACTGTGTGTGTACTTGCTGTGTGTGTGTGTACTTGCTGTGTATATGTGTGCTGTGTGTGTGTACTTGCTGTGCATGTGTGTGCTGTGTGTGTGTGCTGTGTGTGTGTGCTGTGTGTGTGCTGTGTGTGTGTGCTGTGTGTGTGTGCTGTGTGTGTGTACTTGCTGTGTATATGTGTGTGCTGTGTGTGTGTACTTGCTGTATATGTGTGTGCTGTGTGTGTGTGCTGTGTGTGTGCTGTGTGTGTGCTGTGTGTGTGTGCTGTGTGTGTGTACTTGCTGTGTGTGTACTTGCTGTGTATGTGTGTGTACTTGCTGTGTATGTGTGTGCTGTGTGTGTGCTGTGTGTGTGCTGTGTGTGTGTGCTGTGTGTGTGCTGTGTGTGTGTACTTGCTGTGTGTGTACTTGCTGTGTATGTGTGTGTACTTGCTGTATTTGTGTGTGCTGTGTGTGTGTGCTGTGTGTGTGCTGTGTGTGTACTTGCTGTGTGTGCTCAGCGCGCTACGCTACGAACCCAGCGACCCGAGTTCGATTCCCACTCACGGCCACCACCACCGCTCATCGTGACGATTATTATCTGAACCCGGTCGTGGACCCTCCCCTAGGTCGACTCGGCCTCAAATGAGTACCTGGCGCATGTGCGTTAGCATCACCACCGGGGAGACAAAGGCGGCCGGGCGTGGGGCTGGCCACCCACTCCATGTGCCGTACCGGCCTTCGTAGGTGCTCGCTCACAGCACTTGCCCCAACAGTATGTCGAGGCTACACGGGGGATCTTTGTCTTTGTGTCAACAATCAATGCGGTTTAGAAATAAAGCGATCTTTGTATTTGATTGACAATTACTAAATAAATGTTCGTTTGTATACAGCAGCAGATCTTCGTAAGGGATACACACACACACACATGCACTTGTTGATTGTGTATATACATTGTTAAATGGTTATTACACACACACATATATACACACCGTCGCATACCAAATTAAACCCTTTTGTTAATATTATCCACTGCTGGATTAAAGGCCCCATCGCTCCGTGTTTTGGGGGTGTTTGACCATACTTCACCTCGCTGGTCACTGCGGGTTGACTGGTGAGGAGCGGTGGTGATGGTGTTCTAAGGATTGGTTCAGTTATCAATCGCCACTGATAATAGCCGTGACCCGAAATCGAACTCGTAGCCAGTCAAATTTAAAGTACAGCGGCGCTAACCACTGCGCCACCGCTCCTCACATAGAAACACAACAGCACACACACATTGCACATTGCACAATCGTCAAATATTAACAAACATGACTTACCCCAGGGGGAGATTGTGGCCGCTTAAAGGATGTACAATATATTCGTGTGAGATAGATGCCAAGGCGATATTAATAAAATATTATATTGCCCGGTTAGCTGTTGCTCTATAGGCAAAAAAAATGTCACATTTTTAAAATGCAATTAGTTTTTAAAAATGCGCTAACTTATTTTAGTAGATGCAGAGCTCCCCCCCCCCCGCCGCCCGCCCTCTTTGTAGAGATGTAATTTATTTTAAAAGGATCTCGTTACGAGCACCGCTGCCGTGTAAGCCCCTCACTCCGTCTCTCTGCCTCAGCAGCGAGACACCCACTCACATCTTATCCCGCCTTTTGCAGAATCGATCCGACGCTCACGGTAACAACAACAACTCGGATCGATTCCAACAGCCGTCGCAGCCGTTGGTCCCCCCCGTTAGAGGGGAGGGGAGGTGTGTGTACGCGGAATCGTTACGGGGGGGTTTTGCCTGCGAGTCGATTAACAAGAGAATCGATTCCGCGATAGCCTCGGACCCATATAGATCAGTGTGGGGGTTACCATGGAGACTTGCATAGCACAAGGGCTTAGACACACACACATACACACACACACACGCGCGTGACATATTCCCTTACGTTAAAATTAACGTTGTATTTTTTTATTTAAAAAATTTTGTATAAATTTTTTTTTTATAAAGTTGACGTTACTCGTTTTGTCAGTTATTCACGGGTTATTATTTTTGTTGGTGTGGGGTAGGAGATGCATATTGCAATGCATTGCTGTTATAATGTCGACGATGTGTATACACACACACATGTAGTCAGTATAACACATTCCTGCGGAGGGAGCTGGTAGGAACGTCGGGTTGCTCGGTCAATGGCCAGGGTCAACGGCGGCGTGGTGTATTCCGCAAATATGCCCGACTGTGAGGGCGGGCACAAGCCGGCGTGAGTAGGTTAAACGTACGGGGTGACCAGCCCCTCCCCACCCAGCCCCACCCCTCCCACCCCCCACCCAGCCCCACCCCACCCAGCCCCACCCTCCCCACCCAGCCCCTCCCCACCCTCCCCACCCAGCCCCTCCCCACCCAGCCCCTCCCTCCCACCCAGCCCCACCCTCCCCAGCCCTTACCCACCCTCCCTCCCCACCCAGCCCCTCCCTGCACGACGGACGGACGGACACAATAATCCCCTGTGGGCTGGTGTAACCAGAGGTTCCTACCAGTATTAATACTGTACATCTACAATAATGTATTGTGTATTATTTAATATAAGCACATATTATCCATTAACGCACAGGCTGAATGTGTCATAAAAAAAAGTCGAAGTGATTATTTTGCTCAAATAAGCATCGAGGCATTCGTTATGGCCCAGTGGTGGACATTCCACGTTCCTGTGGCGGGAGCGAATCTAACCCAGACAATGGGCCAACGTAAAGCAACTCGAGTCCAACGTTTGTCCGTTCACTGTTTATTCATAGGGCAACCGAGGCTTCGCATTCTCCGCAAAGTGGTATCAATTTATCGACCCCGGAGGGGAGGGATGATGATGAGCTGGAGTCGAGCTCACGACCTTCCGATCGCTCTACATCTGAACCACCATCGGGCAGGACTGTGTGTGTACACATTGACCAAATATTAAAACTGCAACATCCATGATGACTAAAATACAGTTAATACGTAACAAAACAATGGCTCAGGCAATACTAATAAGGGACCGTCCATAAATGACGTCACGCGATTTTGGACGATTTTTGACCCCCCCCCCCTCGTCACACGGCGTCACAAAAAGTCAGACCCCCCTCAAATATGACGTCACAAAGCTCTGCCCCCCCCCCCTGCCAAAAATAAAACATGCTTCAAATAGCTTTAAACTATTGTCATTGTAGCGTGTATTTAATGTGGCGCTGCACTCTGATGTTGTAGGAGAAACCATTTATTTAAAGTCTATTTAATTACGTAGGACATGTTGTCTATATTTATTTAAAGTTGCGCATTTTGATGTGACGTCACATTTATCAACCCCCCCCCCCTCGTCACACAACGTCACAAATATCCGACCCCCCCCCAACTCCCTAGGTGCGTGACGTCATTTATGGATGGCCCCTAATACAAATGCTGGAAAAATTGTCAGAATTGTGTAAAACCACGGGGAGAAGATGGAGGAAGGAAATCAGAGAACACAATTTTGATATTAATTGTGTCACAATACACAATGGGAGAGCACGGAAGCAGCACAGACCCAGTAAGCATGCTAACGCTGGGACAGCAAGTTCCAATCGAATGCCAACGTTGGCTCAACGTTGGCTCAACGTTAGCAAGGTTTGCCGGGATGGTGGTTGATGAATGGAAAAAAATCACGCTTGAAAGTTCCGGACAAAAACCGAATAAGCAAGAACAACCCATGATGAACCCCACCCACCACCATAAAATGAAAGCAGGAACTTGCTGAAGATATCCACAGCGAACACCGGCCATCGTCAAGGACCGGAACGCGTCCGCGAGGTCGTCGACCGAGGAGATGGAGCGAGGATGAGACCATCTCCTGGTGTGTGCAGCAGCTGCTGATCGAGTGTGTCACATCGGTGGTCAATCCACTGCAGGATGAAGGGTCTCCTCCCCAAGCCAGATATCACACTTGAACAATTAAATTTACAAGAATCGTTATTTAGAGAGCGTCCTTTCATTCCCACGAGGTTCAAGGCCACTTCAGCATGGGAATTAAACTCAGCTCCTTCACCACAATGAATAAGGAGAACGCGCCTGGACCAAAAGGAAGAACGCTATTTGGACATTTGCATCACCATCATCAGAGACGGGACAAGCTCCAGGAACAACATTCCCAAAAAAACGACTGATCAGATACGTCCATTGTGGAGTGACAACCCTCAACTACTCTTCCATGCAAAGAGGGAGATTGCTTTCAAGAACTAGAGCCAACTGCCTCTGGGGGTTGACTCAGACCATTATCATCCCTCCCCTTCGGGGTCGATAAAATTGATACCACTTTGCGGGAATTCAAAACCTCGGTTGTCCCCTGAATAAATAGTAAACAGGCAAACGTTGGACCAGAGTTGTTGTACGTTGGTGTTGGCCCATCGTTTCTAGACTCGTCCCCGCCATAGGAACGTGGAATTTCCACCACTTGATCATAACGAATGCCTCAATGCTCATTTGAGCAAAATAATCACTTTAATTTTTTCTTTTATTTTAACATATCCAGCCTGTGTATTAATGGATAATATGTGCTTATATTAATTAACACACAATACACTATTATATATGTACAGTATTAATATACTAACCACGTATGTGTGTACAGCGTGTACATTATAATAGCAATGCATTGCAATATGCCCCCCACCCACCACCCACCACCACAAAAAATAAAAACCCGTACTCAGTTAAATAAATAACAACTTAGTAACGTCAACTTAATATATATTTTGTTAAATTATCAAAATCATCATGTCAAGAATGCACCACCGCCACACAGCGTCGGCTTCTCGCTCTCGTAGGGAGAGACAGAGGAGAGGACGACTCGTAGAGAGAGACAAAGGAGAGGACGACTCAGAGAAAGAGGAGAGGACGACTCAGAGAGAGACAAAGGAGAGGACGACTCAGAGAAAGAGGAGAGGACGACTCGGAGAGAGAGAGAGACAAAGGAGAGGACGACTCAGAGAAAGAAGAGAGGACGACTCAGAGAGAGAGACAGAGGAGAGGACGACTCGGAAAGAGACAGAGGAGAGGACGACTCAGAGAGAGAGAGAGAGTGGAGAGGACGACTCGGAGAGAGAGAGAGAGTGGAGAGGACGACTTGGAGAGAGAGACAGATGAGAGGACGACTCAGAGAGGGAGAGGAGAGGACGACTCGTAGAGAGAGAGAGGGTGAGAGGACGACTTGGAGAGAGAGACAGAGGAGAGGACGACTCAGAGAGAGAGAGGAGAGGACGACTCAGAGAGGGGAGGGGGGACGACTCGGAGGCTCCAGGAGGACGAGGAGGATGAACCACAGACGATGAGCGGGAAGGCAGCAGCAGCCGTCAACAATTGCCCACGCTCTGTGATCCTCTATCTATAGATGAAGACGTCGTCGGCCAATTCACTGCGTGTGTGTGCATCACGGAGAAACTCGCGCGTGCGAGTGGAAACGCTGTCCCGTGCAGTCGAAGTCCACATTCTTTGCTCTACCCCCTTGTGCTGGCGAGACATGGTTGCGGCTCCTCACTGACCAAAAAATCTGTGCGGTGATCCACCAACCATCACCTCCACAGTGCTTGATTACGGGCGTTAACTACATCGTTATGAATTTCGATTTAAAGCTTTCGTGACTGCAGGGATTCATCTTCTTGGGTCTTTCGGTAAAGTCACGTAGAAGGGAAACAATTAAAACGATTCTCACGACGTTTCGACTGCAACACAAGCAATCATCATCAGGTGCGATGATGATGATCATCAGGTGTGATGATAATTGCTTGTGTTGTAGTCGAAACGTCGTGAGAATTTTTTTATTTTATTGTTTCCCTTCTACGTGACTTTACCGAAAGAACCAAGAAGATACATCGTCACGGTATCATCATCGTCGTCGCCGTCGGCCGTGACCAATGCAGTGTTATGCACCACTCGCTAAAAAAAGAAAACCCCTCCACAATTACGCAATGAGTTTGAATAACAAGCAACACGTCTCTTGGGCAGCCATCGCCACCTATTGTGAGATCACGTGGGAGCTGCCAATTAGAGGTGTAATCCACTCTGAGGACAGGATTTCCGGGCGGGTGACAATGTGCATGGCATGGGATGGGCATGGGCACATTTCATTAAATCATTTATTGTTCTTCTCGTCCACCAAGGTCAGTGAAACAAACATTCGCTGAGACCGGCAGAGAATGCATTGACTGTTCTTCTTGGTTCTTTCGGTAAAGTCACGTAGAATGGAAATAATAAAATAATAAAAATAAAACATCATAAAATAATATAATATAAAAAAATATTATATTATTATATCATTATTATTTTATTTTATAATGTTTTATTTTTATTATTTTTTTATTTCCATTCTACGTTATAATATATTATTATATTATTTTATTATGTTTTCTTTTTCTTATTTTATTATTTACATTCTACGTCACTTTACCGAAAGAACCAAGAAGATGAATCGCTGCAGTCACGAAAGCTTTAAATCGAAGCATTGACTGTTGCGGAGCGGAGCGACAACGAACAGTGAATGAGTGGGTGGGTAAGGGGGCCGTCCATAAATGACGTCACGCGATTTTTGACCCCCCCCCCCCCCTCGTCACACGGCGTCACAAAAAGACGGACCCCCCCCC